AGGGCTTAAAATATGATTCTTTTATGTTGACAGGTAGATGGGCCTATAACAGGAAGGGGCTTCTGCGCTTCTGCATACTGCAATTGGAAGGGGGAGGGAGATGAAGGGGGGCTTATGAGCAGCAGTTTACAGAACCCAAGAACTAACCTCCTGTCAGTAAAGGCAGTATCACAGTGAGTAGTGTGGTGCAAGCTTTCCTTCCTGGATGAGACCAAGGCAAGTTTTAAGGAATAAAAAAACTCCCAGCTGATACACCTATGGTAGTTTTCAGGGTTTATATTCTCCTTGCTACTGTGTGACCTTAACTTTTTAACCCCAGGGAACGACTGGCTTCTTATTTCTCCTTACAATATCACCCTCAAACTGAATGTATGGGTGACATACTTGAAAAATGGAAATGATCACTAATCTAAGAAGCTCCAGATTGTCAAACAAATTCTCCTTGCTATTACCACAGGAAATGTAGAGAGCTTAGTGTGGAGAATATGAATATCAATGTTAGAGTGTAAAAGTCAACAGAAGTTTAATTTCTAATAGTACTCTTCAAGGAGTGGGGCTAGGATTTTTGAAAGTTTTTTTTCGCCACTAAAATTATAAGGTTTGTATTTTGTTGACTTGAAAAACATTTAGATCACGTCAAATAGGGATGGTCACAAACACACCAGGATCCCTCTGGCTGACTACACAGGTGCCCTTGACATTCACCTACCTCTTGTTTGAGATGCATAACATGTTCTTCATACTCAGCCACCAGATCTCTTTGAGTTATGTCCATTTCATCCACTTTCTGTTGAAGCCCACCGATCTGTTTGTCAAAATCCACAAATGTATGGTCAACATTTAACCCTTAACTTCCAGAAGTGATGTACTAATATAAGCATAATTTCTGCTGTGATTATAGAGATGCATGCACTCTGATTGGTTGAGGATCGTGTTTTATTGTGCTATAATCACCTAGCTGAAGGTGATTATAGCAAGAGCACTAAATTTCAAAATGGCTGCCTTGCATTTTGTCAATTTTACACAGGAAATTATAAATGCAATAGTACAAAAATACAAATCTGAAGAGTACAAAAGATGCTACTAAGTTTGAAGTAAAAATTTTCAAAAGATATGAAGTTTTTGCTGATTGAATTGAATAAACCTGTGAAATTCTAGTGGAAAATGGCTGCTTATCTCAATATGAGGAATCAAAATAATTGTAACAGAATGGTTTAAACAACAACAACAACAACAACATTTCATGATAAAAAATTACAGTGGAGCTGATGTGGTGGTGTATTTAAAAGTTAAAACATAGTTTACAAGTGAATAAAAAGCTTAAAAACTAATTAGAATTAAAAAAGATCTAACCTATTTTAAAAAATACATAACATATCACTCTGTAAACTAATCTATTCACATTAAGTTCTGCACTTAAGAAAATTTTTAAATGAGCTTTTTCTTGAGATTGCACACGTATAACAAAAAAAGAAATTTACAACAGAATTGGAATTTACAAAAAAAATTGAAAGCACCTGGGAGTGAACAATTTTTGTAAAAAAAAACAATTATTTGCTACAGGCTCCTTGATGAATAATCCCCGCAACTTTGTATTGGAGATTATTCAACAGTATTCACTTCACCTTCTGCAAAAATTGTTAAATATCAATACATTATGAATTTTGAGATCAACAAAACTCTCTTACAGGAAGCCTTGCCCCTTAAAATCTATCACAATGATTACCAGAGACAGGTGAGTTACAGAGAAAAATGCTAGGTCCTATGATCCAAAAAAAATATTTAAATGGTAGATGTACTGTAGTTGTATGTTTTTTTGCTTGCACCGTCATCACAAATGAAGTATTTTCATTGATAAAAGAAGAAAATAATCAATACAACACACTGACCTCCTGACACTTCTGCTCCAATTGGACTTTAACAAATTCCACCTCTTTGGTTTTCTTGTCCAGTTGTATTTGAACAGCATGCACATGAGTTTCCCATTCTGCTTTCTTAGCAGATACCATTAGATCAATTTGCCGCATTAACTGAAAGCAGAGCAAAGTATATGATGGCATCATCATCATTGTCAATGGGGAAAAAAAATGGCCTGTGTAGATCATCTTTCAGGATGTATCTCATGTTTGATTTCATAAGATATACATGTTGTGGTTCAAATTTTTTCCAAAATTTAAACTTCTCAAATCATTTTGATTGTTAGTTTCCTTTGTCCTGCAAAATAATATGATAAAAAGGAAATGAAAACTTTCAAGCTAGTAAAATTTGAACAACACATGTATGGTATACAACACACACATGATTTGAACTTTCATGTCTTCTCTTTAGTTAAAAGATACTTGAAAAAAATAATATTAATAAAAGCAATAAATTTGAATCCTTGAAATGCCCAAGTTTGAAAATATCTAACCTATAACCTGCATTATATAATGAATTAGTTATTCTTTTGCAGATTAAAAACTGTGGTGGTTTTTTTCGAGAAGACCTCCATCATAGTTACAGCAAGCAATCTCACTCTATTTTGAAAGAATTCTTCCATAAAAAACTTCTTGAATGAAAATATCTGGTACATCTGCATACAATTTGATGGACTTTCATTGTATGTAACTGCTTCCCATAGGTGAAAGCATTTTACCTGTAGTGTCTTTGAGGGCATCTCTGGGTAAGTGAGATTTAAGAGTTCATGGAAACCAAGTACATGTACTTTGTAGAACAATGTTTAGTACTGTAATCAATATTAATGATTACAAAGGCTTTCTTTCATTATGTAAATAGGAAACTGTTAATTAACAAAGCCACAAGCATAATCTCAAACACTCTGTTATTACATTTTGCTTGTCATAAATTTATTTCATGACACTATGATTATACCAATAGAGACTCAATTGCTAGTTTGTGTAATTTAAAATCTTCTAGTTTTTTCAAAAAATTTACTTGTTCTAATATTTTAGTGATTCTACTGACAATTAGTATTTTGATTACAATACTTAACTTTATTTAAAGTGTGCTGTTTATAAGAGAAAAAGTACCCCAAAGAAACTAAAAACTGTGGTTGTAAGTAAAAGTTTACAAAGAAAATGTGGAATTTAAAAAACAATACATATTACTATGCTGTATATTTCCTTTTCAGTACATCCAACCACCAAACTTAAAGATATTGTCCATAGTGGAGCTTTTGAAGCTTTGTGCTGAGAATATCAAATAATTGGCAAAGTTTACACATCACATGTACATGCATCTCTGTACATTGTTCTATGAATTGAAAAATATTGAAACAATTCAAAAAGCTGTCAAGCAAATTATAAAGCTGTGAAAAAAATCTAATAATAATTAATAAATAGTGTTAAAAAATGTTTTTAACAGTATTATTACTAATAATCACTCTTTATGATGATTGCTTCTTACCTCTCGCAGTTCTTCCTCACATGACGTCAGAGAACCTTTTCTGATCAAGCTAAACAAGAACAAACAAGACAGGGTTAAATAAACTTTTTTTTTTATAAAAGATGGACCCATTTTGTCTAGTAATATATATATATGAAAAAATGTTTTAAACAACCTCAATAGATTCCTTGTGTAATTAAATTACCAAACAGATCTTTGTTGCTATCTGCCTGTTCAGTAATAGGTCACAGACAACAACAAAATGTGGTCAGGGCAAAAAAGTGGCAAATGAGGTGCAGCCAGGTGTGTCACTTGATATACAGTCATGTTCGTACTGCATTTTGACATCTCTTGTAATCTAATACTGTACAGACCCACAGCTGTGATCTACGTGTCTGTCCTCTATTAGATCATCAGAACCAATCAAAAGGCATGTATAATGCAGCTAGTCAGTAATTACAAAATTGTACATTAATTATAGCTGTTTCTCTCTAATATGACCCTTTCACCCCCAGGAGTAATCCAAAACTGATTTCTCCCTTCATTTCTCAATAAATTAACAGGCACAAACTAAGGCAACAGGACAAGTAAAAATTATCATCAAGCTAAAACATATCATTTCACTTAACAACAAATTCAAAGAGCTGAAATGATAAAAAATATATGGCAGACAATAAAGAGAATTGATATTTACAAGATGATTTGGGAGTGAAAGGGAAGGGAAAGAATCAGTGGGTATAGCAAGTCAGGGCAAGCTCTTAAGAACTGTAAAGTTTTGTATAAATATCTCTTCCAAATAAATTCATTTTCAGAATTGACTCTGACTGACTGGTATTTCTGATAACAGTAAAAGCATACCGATCTGGAAAGATATAAAAAATATTCATGATGATCATAGATGATATCATATAGTAAGCAATTTACAACCAACAACACTGTGTTAATTATCACTCTGTTGTTAAACCAGGCTTTCATCAAAAAAAGTAGTAAGAGTACAAGGAAACAAGCTGTAAAGTGAAAGGAAGAAGAAAAGAAGAGAAAATTACTCACAAACCAAAATTAACCCAGAGATTTTTGTGTAGAAGGAACAGAATTCTCTAATTTGCAATGCCTTTCAGACACCTTCTAGATATCATCTACTTAAAAATGGAATTCAAGTTAAAATCATCTCACCAATTTTATTTGCATATTTTTTTGTGAAAAAGATTCTGGTTTTAAAGATGAAACAAGGAAAATGAAAGAAAAAAACCTCTTTGACATCATTTTGTTCTGAAATTCATTTGAACCTTCACCAGATAAATTGTGTTTCTTAACAGTTTAGCACACGCTGCATTGCTCCTCTTAATGAGGCAAATAAATTATTCATAGATTCAATAAAGAATAATACTGGGAACAAAACATTAAAACACCTGGCTCAACCAAAATTGATGGACTAGACCTTAAGAAAGAAACTTTCAAGCAAGAATTTATAATTTCATTTTCTTCACAAATACAGCGAACAGGACTATGTTATCTCCATCAAAAGTATCAAAAGATGCAAGCTGCCGATCACCACGTCGTCCTCGGAAGAGGCTTCTAAGCTATGAAATTCAATCAGATGAGAGTCAAACCAAGCAACAGTGGTCAGATGGGGTAAGTTGTACACTGTAATTTTAACAATCTTTCCCCAATGAGAAAAATTAGAGTCATTGTTTGATTGAATTATGTACACTGAATACAGAAATACAGCTTAGGTATAAAATAATGCACAAATGTATATAATCCAAGTGATGCATTGTAAATGCACTTTATTCATTAGGCTTTCACAGCATTAACTGCATGTTAATCTTCATCCTGTTACATCTTCAATAGCTAGATTTCTGTAGTTTCAAGCCTTCATTATCAGTGTTAAGTATATAATAGCTAGACAGTATGTAATAGTCAACTGTATCTACAGACCCTGAGGGTAAAACACACAACAGTATACATACTGATAAACCCAAGGCCTATGTAATATACAAATGTTAGTAGCTCATTATGCAAGAACACTTTACACCATTTAACGTTATAAAGTAAGATGAGAACATGATCACAATTGCTGCTGACCCAGGGCTTAGATTGTTTCTATGTAAAAGGCAATGTCTCTAATCTCTAGGGTGACCACTTAATACAGGTTCCACAGAAAAGGATTATATGTAAATTTTTAATAACATCAAGTTTTGCCGTATTTACAAAACCTTACTTAAACAGAATTACTACTAAAATTTATTTTGGGTGATAAACATCAGTTGAATTTTACTGTTATCTTTTTTAAAAGATTATTCTTAGCTTTATTTGAGTGGTTGCTCTTCAACTGAGTGTTCAATACAGTAAGCAAATGGTGACTATGACCACTCAATAGATGTGGCTGCTTTAAATAGAGTTGAAAATCATAGTAATGAAGCAGAAAAATTTCTGGACTTTGACAACTGACTGCATAACACAGGGTGACCCCCTAATACAGAGCCCCTAAATTCAGGTTTGACTGTCATTGTAAAATTCCACCCTCAAAATGTCATGTTTCTGAGTTGACAGTCTTGCGTGGATTTGAATTAAATTATTTTTAATCTGCTCTTAAATATCCACCAAAGCAAAGGCTGATAAATATATATTTGGTTGTATAAAACACAAGATTAAGTATTCAAAAAAGGATGCAATGTCTTAAAATACCAAATTTGCCTGGGTTAAACTAAAAAATTTGACAAAAACTTAGAAAGGTAACAACTTTGACCAAATAGAAAATTTGATGAAATTGTTTACAACAGTCTCACAAATTTCTCACAGGCATGTCTAAGATTTTGGCAGTGGAATAGCTAGAAAACGGGAAATATAACAGCTCTGTGATTATTTTTCTTTTAAAGTATACAATTGAGGCATTTCGGAACTTAAGTGATATTCTGGGGCTTTTCTTCATAACCAATACAAATTTCTCTGAAGTTTTTCTGTGCTATTGTTGAAGTCTTTAATCCCTAAGAATGATTAGCATCTAATTTCTCCTTACACTATCACCACTGAATCACACATTAATCTCATGAGAATAAAAGAAATGATCACCAGCTAAAGAAACTCTTGATTGTTAAACAAATTCTCCTTGTCAGCACCTTATTATATGTACAGAGAACAGTATGGAGAATATGAATACTGATGTTAGGGTGTAAAGGGTGAATAACACACTATTGGCAGTCCACCAGTGACTCTCACTGGTGACTTAGGATGATACATGCAGCTTTCTAAGGTCAAACTGACACAATTTATACAAATTGTATCATGAAAAAATAGCAAAATTAACAGTTTTTTATTTTTTTCAAAATAGTCAGGGTTTAACTCTCTACATCCTAACATCCATATGCAAATTCTCCATACTGTTCTATACATTTCCTTATGTGCTAACAAGGAGAATTTGTTTAACAGTCAAAGCTGCTTTGGTAGGTGATAATTTCCTCTATTCTTGTGACCTTCGTGTTTGATTCATAGGAGGTTTGTATAGAGAAATAAGATGCTGATGAATCTTAGGGGTTAAAGAGTTAAGGCATTAACCCTAACATTCTAGAGAAATAAAGGTATCCACATGTATTTAACGAATAGACTCCATGTAGCTGTCCGTCTCTCTAGTTATCATCAGATAACATCAAAATGTGGTAAGAATCAAAAAGTGGCACTTAGGGCACAGTTAAGTGAGTCACTGATGTTCTTACTAAAACTTTTACACGTAACCTATATGACAAAGTACACATCAACATTTCACGGATATGAATAAGTAAAACAAGCGGAAGTCCCTACGATGCATGAAATGTAAACAAACATTGTTTCCCTTTAAAATTATTCAATTTCAAAACTTCAGCAACTGTAAACAAGCAAGAGAGGTACAAGTATAGTACCATCACGTGCAAATCCTTTTTGGAAGGAAACCATAGCTTATAATTACCTTTCAGAGAATATGTCTGTGAACGTCTCCATGTCAACAAGGCTTCGCGATTTCTGAAGATTTCGTCTTTTTCTAATTTTCATTCATTGTGGCCTCTGGATTAAGATCCATTCTAGTCAATCGACACCAGCGGATTGTCTGAGCAAATCAGACAAAATTGATCCGAAATCGACTTTTCAAATTACTATCCGTTTTCCACTTGATCGAGCTTTGAAGACCACTCTTCGGTCTACGACTCGAGCATGACACTCTCTTGTTGAGATATCGAAGCATTAATCAATGTGAAAATGTTTCTATGATAGTTTCTGGCCAGTTTGTTCCATTTTTCCCGAAAAAAAGGCGAAATCTGAACGACTTATTCCACTACCAAACGATCTACAAACTGTCAATTCAAAGAAAGCGCGTCTATCGAAAAGGCAACCAGGCCTTCTATTTAATTGCCAGGTTGCTTGGAATCACAACAGAATATGGCGTCCCCAAAATTAAATCAAATGGTTTGTTTTGTCTTTTTTCTTTTAGGGTATTCATGTTTTTCTTAATCTTTTGTATCAATTGCAGATAATTTTAATGTTAACCTTTATTTTTCCAAGACTAGGTATGGTAGTAATGGGCATGCTTTTTGAAGGTGCGAAGCGATACTTTCCAACAATTGACTTTAAATGTGTTTTTGTTTAATCAAGGAAAAAAAGAGATTGCAAGGATTTCTAAACGAGATGTTGAGAGTTGGATGTTTGAAGGTACAAAAGGATTGTCTTGAGGCCGTTCCTGATTGTATTTTATTTGAATATAAACAGTGCGATGAATGCTTACTCTTTTAATTTGTAATTAATTTAACACGAGATCCTTGGTCTTGCATGTGTTTGTTTCGTTCCACTTTCTAGGGTTTCAAATATTTCGCTCTCTATCTACGAGGTCGAGAAGAGTTAATATGCAGAGTCCTAAATGAACCTATGGTGAGATACTTATGTTTTCAAAGAGACTTGTCAATCTCGACAATGTAATGATATGTTGCAATGTGGAAATTATTTTGAAACTTGAATATCCCCAGTCACCATGACTCGAATCGACCAGCTCTCTAGGCATTATTTTATGTTGGCACATGATATCCTTTAGAGATAAGCCT